TGATGGGAGGAAGTCCTCCGACATTCAGGCAGTATTCTGACAAATCAGGAGTCTTGTTAAGGTGAGGAAGGTGGATTGGAGAGCAAAGGAAGTTATCAGGCGTGCCAGGGAGGGGGAATTAAACAGCCAAGAATGGATCTCCATTCCTGCTCAGAGGGTATGGTCAGACAGATACTGACTGGCAGGTTGGACACCCAAGCCCACTACACTAGGCCACATGGTTTGTAATTTGGGCAGGTTACCAAATAAGGCTCCATTTCCTCATCTGTGGAGCTGGAGAGGAGTGGCTAAGGGATCTTGGCAAGTAACAGATGGAACCTTTAACACAAGGAAGGCCCCGCCAGCCCGTCCACATCCGCTTTAGCTACTATTTCCCAGGGCCAATACAGCCATTCCCTGAGGGTGACAAGGTAGAAGACCTTTGTGAGTACCCCAAAACTTGACGGCTCAGGACCTGGAAGGAACTGGAGCATCTCTCTGCTCCTCACAAGCCGTTCCACGGTCGCCCTCTTTACAGGGCCCTTCTCCTCCAGTCAAACAGAGCTGCACAAATGGCTGCCCTTGGGCCCCTGCCACTAGCTAGCCCCCAGGGCAAGCCTGTGCTTCCAGGATTGGCTACCCTGACCACACCCACATTGGACCAGGGAAGAAGTCTAGAAAACCCCCTTGCCAGAGGTAGACCCGTTTTAACAGGGGTACAGAGGAGAAAGCAGTCTCTGGCCCTTAAAGATAAGGAGGGGAGGGAGACAAGGAAGAGCCAGGTGGTGAGGGGCACAAAGGCCAAACAGAAGGATCTGCATGTGACCCAGAACAGACTTGGAATGGAGGCCAGGGTTTGGGAGAGAGTATTCGGAATAAAGAACAAGGCATGAGGGTGAGGGCTGAGCTCTAGCAGACAGAGGCTAGCTTGCTTTCCTGCCCTGGTCCCATGATAGCTCTGGTCTGTTAGCCCATGACTGTCCAGAAAGGCCAGAACATATTGGGTTCAGGGTACATGGGGTTTATTGTCATTTATCACCTGGGAGCCTTCCTCCATAGCAGAGATCATGCCTTTTTAAATATATAACATTTTATTTTATATCCATTGTTTTGCCCGCATGCGTGTCTGTGTGAGGGTGTCAGAAGCTCTGGAACTGGAGTTGCAGACAGGTATGAGCTGCCATGTGGGTGCTGAGAATTAAATCCAGGTCCTCTGGAAGAGCAGCCAGTGCTCTGAACTATTGAACCATCTCTCCAGTCATGATATCATGGCTGTTAAATGGCCCAAGTCATATTTTTTTTGGACACAACTTTGCAATGTTAGCCCAGGCCGCCCTAGAACTTACATACCCTAGGCTAACCTCAAACTCGGCCTCCCAAGTGCTGGGATTACAAGAGTATGGGGCACACCCAGAGTATGCACTTCAGCTAGTGGCGAAGTGCCAAAGCTTTGTCCCTCTCTGGGCTCCGGTAGCAAGCCTGCACACTGTCCACAGGCGAGGCTATGCCTCACTTCCCAGCACTGCCACTGCCCCAGGAGCACAGCGCGACTCACCAGCAGTGGCCACACTCTGTCTAGCTGTGTGTGTGTGTGTGTGTGTGTGTGTGTGTGTGTGTGTGTGTGTGATGCTAGGTGTTTTTTTTGGGGGGGGGGTGTTTTTTTCGAGACAGGGTTTCTCTGTAGCTTTGGAGCCTGTCCTGGAACTAGCTCTTGTAGACCAGGCTGGCCTCCAACTCACTCCTGGCCTCCAACTCCTGAGTGCTAGGTATGAAACTCCTGCTAGGGAGCACACTGTGATTCCTCTGTGTCTCAAGTTCATTCCATGTAGGAAGTCCCTCAGACACACAACACTTGCTTTGGTCTTAGAGTCCCAGGGTCACTGACTCCTCCTGAATTGCTGGGTCCTCCTAATCACACAGCTCACAGCCCTCCTAAGTACATGGCCTGGCTGATTTGCCTATATCCAGAGCATCGGGTCTGACTCCAAGGATAGCCCACCCTCCTGACCCACCCTCACACCAGATGTGAGCCTCTTCCTCTGGATCACCCATTCCTGGAGGGCAGATGGACCTTCAACTCCAGTGATGACTTGCGGGACAGGTCGGCTACAACAACAACAAAAGACCCACAGGAACTGGAAAGATGGCTGAACATTAGGAACATGCCAGGCAGTGGTGGTACGCACCTTTAACCCCAGCACTCAGAAGGAATAGGAAGGCCAGCCTGGTCTACAAAGCAAGTTACAGGACAGCCAGGGGCCAGGACTGTTACACAGAGAAACTCTGTCTCGAGGAACCAAAAGAGAGAGAGAGAGAGAGAGAGAGAGAGAGAGAGAGGGAGAGGGAGAGAGAGAAAGAGAGAGAGAATTCAGAGGTTAAGAGCACTGGCTGTTCTCCCAGAGGTCCTAAGTTCAATTCCCAGCAACCACACGGTGGCTCACAATTGTCTATGAGATCTGATGCCCTCTTTGGGTGTGCAGGCATACATGCAGGCAGAACACTATACATAGTAAAATAAATCTTTAAAAAAGAAAAACCAACCAACCCAGTTAGGAGTGCTGACTGCTCTTCCAGAGGATCCAAAGTTGGTTCCCCACGCCCATATGGCAGCTCACAACCACCCATAACTCCACCTCCAAGGAATCTTATCCCATTCTGGCCTCTGTGAGCTTCCAGGAACATATACATAAATACAGGCCAAATACCCACACCCATAAAATAAAATACTTTTAAAAGTTAAAAAGTAAAATTCTCAGGGCTGGAGAGATACCTCAGCAGTTAAGAGCACTGGCTGCTCATCTAGAGGTCCTGAGTTCAATTCCCAGCAACCACATGGTAGCTCACAACCATCTACAATGAGATATTGTGCCCTCTTCCAGCCTGCAGGGATACATGCAGGCAGAACACTATACATAATCAAATTTTGAAATATAATTCTCAGTTCATTTATCATTAAAAAAAAAGAAGAGGAAAGAAACTCCACCTATACACATAAAATAAAAAAAAATAAATCCTAGATGGTTATTCTTTACCTGAAAATATTTTATGTCTTAAGAGAAATATCCATCATACCAGCTAGTTTTTATGCACAAGCATACTGTAGGACAATGGTCTTGTACCCTGTAAAGATTTGTCATTTGTATTGGTTTAATAAAATGCTAATTAGCCATTAGCCAGACAGGAAGTATAGCGGGGGCAACTAGAATAGAATTCTGGGAAGAGGAAAGGCTTAGAGAGTCTGCAGTCATCACCCAGACCAAGAGGAAGCAAGATAAGAATGCCTCACTGATAAAAGGTACCAAGCCATGTGGCTACCACAGACAAGAATTATGGGTTAATTTAAGATGTAAGAGTTAGTTAATAAGAAGCCTGAACTAATAGGCTAACAACAAGTTTATAATTAATGCAGGCCTCTGTGGTTTTTTTTTAAGATTTATTATGTATACAACATTCTGCCTACATGTATGCCCACATGCCAGAAGAGGGCGCCAGATCTCATTACAGATGGTTGTGAGCCACCATGTGGTTGCTGGGAATTGAACTCAGGACCTCTGAAAGAGCAGCTAGTGCTCTTAACTACTGAGCCATCTCTCCAGCGTCGTGTCCCCCCCCCCCCCCCCCCCCGTTTCTTTGGGACTGAATGGCTGTGGGACCAGGCGGGACAGAAACTCTTGTCAAACTGAAGTAAGATCTTTTGAGAAGGAACCTTAACTGAGAAAATCCGTAGGACTGGCCTTTAGGCGAGCATTGTCCTGACTGATAGATGATCGATATAGGAGGGCCTTGCTCACTGTGGTGGTGCCACCCCTGGGGAGGTAGTCTCAGGTGGTATAAGAAAGTAGTCTGAGGCCAGGTATGGCAGTGCACTCCTTTGTTCTCAGCCCTGGCAAGGCAGAGGCAGATGGATCTCTGAGCTGAGACCAGCCTGGTATACAAAGTGAGTTCTAGGACAGCCGGGACCACACAGAGAAAAAGAAAAAAGCAAGCAGACTGAAGCAGCCATGTAGAGGAGGCCTGGCCTGTAAGCAGAGTTCCTCCACAGCCTTGAGTTTTTCTCCTGACATCCCTAACAAGCTGTTAATGAAATAAACCCTTTCCTCCCCAAATTCTTTTGGTTGTGGTGCTTTAACACAGCAGTAAAAATTAAACCAAGACAAACACATACAAGCATAGTGACTTCCTTTTTAATGTCCTGGATGGGTGTGATGGCACGTACCCATAATCCTACCAGGAAGCAAGACACACTGCGGTTGCAAATGCTCTGCCTCACTAGGTACAGGCCCAGGGGCAAGGGAGCAATGGTTAAACACTGAAGTCCCTTCTCAGGTAGATGCTGAAAAATGTGGACTCACTACCTCCCACATCCCACTCACCGAAGGTCAAGTGACACTTAGACATCTTCTCAGAGCCTAGACTTAAGATGGAGAGGGCCCTGATCTGATCTCTTGCACTGTGGACCACAGACAGCCCACCAAACAGTAAGTTCTAGGTCTCCAACTAAAAACAAAATGGGGCCGGGTGGTGATGCACTCGGGAGGCAGAGGCAGGCGGAGCTCTGGTTCTGAAGCCAACCTGGTCAATGAAGTGAATTCCAGCATGGCCAGGGCTGTTACATAGAGAAATCCTGTCTCAAACAAACAACAAGGGGGTGGCTGGAGAGATAGCTTGGTGGTTAAGAGCACTGATTGCTCTTTCAGAGGACCCAGGTTTAATTCCTGGCAACCATATAGCTCAGAACTGTCTATAACTCCAGAATCCAACACCCTCACACATACATACAAGAAAAAACAAAACAAAATAAGAATGGATAAGCAAACAGAAGTGGGCGACTACAGCGATGGCTCAGTGATCAAGTGTGGTTTGTTCTTGCAAAGGACTCATTTGGTACCTAGCATCCACACTGGGCAGCTTACAACCATCTCTAACTCCAGTTCTAGGGGGACCCTTCAAAGGTCCCTGCATTCATGCGCACATATCCCTACACACAGAAACATTCACACAATTAAAAATAACAACAATAAAACAATGAGTAACAAGCATGTTGTCAAAGTGGCTCTTCTGTGAAGTCCCTTCCCTGGAGCCATGAACGTGTACCCCATGTCATAAGGAAAGAATGGAAGGAGAACATGAGACCGTGATGAACGAGTCTGAGAAGGCACTGTGACATGACGGAAGGCTGGGCTTCTGTGGCTGGACAGCCCTAGCACACCCAGGGGCACAGCACACCAGTCCTCTGAGGCAGCTCAGTTCAGGGGGAGTGTGATGCTTGCCTTTCACCAGGGAGGAACCAGAACTGGCCAACCCCAGCCTTGTCCCATAGACCCAGGTCTCCCTGGGACAGGTCCTTAGTACTAATTGCTCAAAGGGAGATGCTTCCTGTCCTTGCCCGCGTTTCGACGCCTCTTTCGGCTCAGGAAACTCTCCAGCTTCTTGCTGCGTTTCAGCTCCTTAAACTTCTCAGCTAGGGCCAACTGGCGCTGCTCAGCTAGATAAAAAGAAAGCAAGCTGGTGAGCAAAGGAGGAAGACCTTATTTCCTAGTCCCACATCCGGGACCCCTTATGCTGGGCTGTGTTGTTAAGAGCCATGGTGTACGAGAGACACAATAACTGTGTTGTGTGTGATCAAACAGCTTCATGGATGCTGATAGCAGAGGCCCTGCCTCTACTAATGAGCTACAGCCCCAGACACCGAGCAAGCTTTTCCTTTAGTTAGGAAATGAATCCAGGGCATTTCTCATACTAGGCAAGTCACATTACCCCTGAGCTATCAAATATTCCTGCCAAAAGTAACTTCTCTTTGTTTTTAGAGACACGGTTTCTCTGTTCAACAGTCCTGGCTGTCCTGGAACTCGCTTTGTAGACCAGGTTGGCCTCGCCTGGCAACCTTGAACCCTCTCTTTTTTTAAAAAAAATATTTATTTTTATTTTATGTGCAGCAGTGTTTTGCCTGCATGTATGTCTGTGTGAGGGTGTCAGATCTTGGAGTTAGACAGTTGTAAGCTGCCACATGCATGCTGGGAATTGAACAGGGAACCAGCCCCCGGCCTTGAACTCTTAAGAGCTGTTGAGTGCTCCTTCCTCCCAGGTGCAGGGACTGAAGGTGTGCGCCGCTGAACCTGGCCTCTGAGCTTACGCTTTATGACTCAAGTCTACTCATCGGAACCAAGATGGGCAAACAGTAGAGACGCAGTGATAGGAGATAAAAGTGACAATCTCCAGCTTTGGTTTTTTGTTTCTTTTGTTTTGTTTTCAAGACGGGTTTCTCTGTAGCTTTGGAGCCTGTCCTGGAACTCACTCTGTAGACCATGCCAGGCTTGAACTCAGAGATCTGCCTGCCTCTGCCTCTCTAGTGTTGGGATTAAAGGCGTGTGCCACCACTGCCCAAATGCTTTTTGTGGGGGGACAGGGGCTCTAGTCCAGACCAGCCTCAAACTTCTACATATCCAAGGACAACCTTTATCTTCCCATCATCCCAAGCGCTGAGACTGCAAGCATATCCACTATTCCTGTTTGATGTAGTAGAGATCAAACCTAGGGCTTAATAAATGCAGGCGAGCACTCTACTCCCTAAACTACCCTCCAATCCGCCCACAAACATCATTTGAGTGCAAATACAGATGGACCCCAAGTACCACTTCCCACTGTTCTCACTTCCCCAGTTAGGACAGGTCCTCCTCAAGGACTCGTGAACCCCGGGACAACAGCCACACAAACTGGCCCCCTCGTAGGCTTTCAAGAGTGTGGCCCCACTCACATTTTCTCAGGAAGTATGGCCGGTGGCCCTGCTGTGCCAGAGCCCGCCGCTCCTGCTTCAAGGCCAGGCGCTGCTCCTGCAGCTGCTTACGCTCCTGCTGTGCCATTTCTTGCTGTTCCTGAGGATCCGAGGTGAGGCAGGACGGAGGTGTGAACAGGAGGGACTCTGAATCACACCTGCCTTAGACTGCTCCCATCACCCACCTACAACTAGCATCCTCACCATTCGCCGAAGCAGCTGCTGCAGCTTCTCACGCTCCTCCCCTGATCGGCGCTTCTTCAACTGCTTTTTCACAAGCTCCACGAGGAAAGTGAATAGCATAGTTAACATTCTGTGCCAAGCTTTATTATAACAAGTTCACACAAATTAACACGAAATCAATGAACAATGTGTGTGGTGTTGGTGTCTGAGGATCCAGCACAGCATTAAATCTCTATTCTAGCACTGGGCTATAGCTCCCAGCCCCTGGCCCTTTCTTTCTCTATCTTTCTTTATAAAATAATTATACTTTTAGCCACTGAGCCACACTTTCATGCCTTTTTATCCTTTTTGTGGTTAGAAGACTAAAGCAGCCAGGTGTGGCGGCTCACACCTTTGATCCCAGAGAGGCAGAGGCAGGAGGACCTGCAAGTTCAAGGCAAGCCTGGTCTATGTAGTGAATTCCAGGAGGGCTAGAGCCACAGAGAGACCCTGTCTCAAAAAAAACAAAGGAAGGAAGGGGGGGGGAGGAAAGGGAGATGGATGGGGAAAGGGAGGGATGAGGGGAGAGGGAGGGAGGGATGAGGGGAGAGGGAGGGAGGGAAGAGGGGAGAGGGAGGGAGGGATGAGGGGAGAGGGAGGGAGGGATGAGGGGAGAGGGAGGGAGGGATGAGGGGAGAGGGAGGGAGGGATGAGGGGAGAGGGAGGGAGGGATGAGGGGAGAGGGAGGGAGGGATGAGGGGAGAGGGAGGGGGGGAACAAAGTAAAGCAAAGCTGGTAGGAGGCTTCAGTGAGTTAAGGTGCCCGCCACACAAGCCTGAAGTCTGAGTTGGACCCCTGGAGCCCAGAGTGGAAGGAGAGATGGGAAACTGCCAAGTTACCCCCTGTCCTCCGCATTCACAGGGGGACACGTGCAGAACTACGCACACTAATAAAAAATACTGAAGCAACATTATGTTACATGTAGTCAGTTAGGAACAGAAAGACACTGATATATTCTTTTGTTTTTTGAGACAGGATCTCTCTGTGTAGCCCTGGCTGTCCTAGAAACTTGCTTTGTTGACCAGGCTGGTCTCGAACTCAAAGATCCGCCTACCTCTGCCTCCTGAGTGCTGGATTAAAGTCATATATAGTCCCCACCCACCCACCCACTTTGGGTTTTGGAGACAGGGTTTCTCTGTAGTCCTGGCTGTCCTGGAACTCACTCCAAAGACCAGAGTCCTCAAACTCACAGAACTCCACCTGCCTCTGCCTCCTGAATGCTGGGATTAAAGGTGTGCGCCATCACTGACCCGCAGTCTCATGTTCTTATATGCAGATGTCATAGTCAATTTCAAGGAAGTATAGAACAGCGGCTGAGAGCCTGTGGAGGGTGTGGGGAGGGGGGACAGGCAGAGACTCAGTCGTCCAGCACAGGGCTGCAGCTGGACAAGGAGGACAATTTCCAGGGTTTGGCAGTATACCAGATAACTAAGGCTCACAAGTAACTCAATCTATGGTTCTGTTCACTCTTCTTTTTCTGGAGGATAGAGAGATAAGGTCTCATGGCCCAAGGTAGCCCAAATTCTTCCTGCTTCCTGCCTCACATCCCAAAGTAGCAGGGATTAGAGATATGTGCTGCTAAGCCTAGCTTAACTGAGGATAGCCAACAAGAGATTTTGACTGTTCCCAACACAGAGATGATTCTATGCGAGAAGTGATACCTAAAGCAATTACCTTGATCATTAAAACACTAAATACACGGACTGAAATGCTATCCTACCCCACAAATGTTACTAAATACTATGAATCAACTTAAAAATATATTCACTTAAAAAGAACCGCAGCAAAGGGGGCTGAGCAACTTGATCACACGGCCACAAAACTGATGGACCAACTAAGAGCAGAAAGATCTGCCTACCAACATGCTTCCATTCTCATTCCTGACTGTCCAACATGTGCTCCAGCCCCCACCCCCAGGAATGGATAAACCAGCTTCATATTACATACCACTTTCTCCTTGGCTCGGATATCGTTCAGGAATTGGTAAGTCTTGTCAAATATCTCGGGGTTATATTCCCCTGACAGATCATCAAAGCGGGGGTCCCGGGCTACCTTTGGGAATAAACAGCTTGTTCAGTCTCCTTTCTCTAAGGAAGTGCTCACTCCCTGCCCTTTCCTCACCTTTTTACTGATGGGAACAACCTGGCGTAAGAATGGCACTCGGACTTTGGCTGACATTTCCAGAGGCCTAAGGAGCAATGAAAGGTCAGGGTAAGTACACTGCAATCCTGGTCAAAGACCGGCGTCTTCCCACCCAGGAAAAGACTTGAGTCAAGGTCCTGAGTATCTTGACTCTGAGGGCATGCTCCTCACCGGTGCTTATCAGCAACACACACAGGTTGTCTGGGGCTTTGCTTCGGAGCGCTTCTTCCAGCCAACTGTTTGCACACCCTGGGTCCCCCTCGGCTCTGCAACTCCAACAGCTCCTCAAAGGACATGGCAGACGTGTCTGCGGGAAGGGAAGGGCACAACTCATAGCAGTCCCTCTCAACAGCAGCAAAGACTTCATCAGCCAAGAGTTGGTTCAGCAGATGAAGGGACATCCTGCCAAGCCTGACAACTGGAGTTAGAGCCTGGAGTCACCATGGTTAGGCGGAAAACAAAATGACTAAGGTGGTCCTCCAACCTCTACACCCTCACTGTAGCACATACGCGCACGCACACACACACACACACACACAAACACCCAGAGAGCAAAGACTCATTCTACCCCATCCTTTCCAACCTTCTCCATCACAGCAGCCGTCTTACTGCTGCTGAGCAGCACAGGCTGCAATGCTGCTACACTGACATTCAACTCTCCAATAATGTTGGCTACTTGATATATCTTGTAGAGACAGAGGTAAATCAATCCACAGCCCATTTCTTTTCTTTCTTTTTTTTTCTTTTTGTTTTTTCAAGACAGGGTTTCTCTGTAGCTCTGGTGCCTGTACTAGCTCTTGTAGACCAGATTAGCTTCGAGATCTTTCTGCCTCTAGCTCTCGAGTGTGGGGACACCACCGCCCATTTCTTTTGCACACTAAAAAGAAATCTGATTGTATCACTCCTCACAGTAATTATCATGTCACCCCTGAACTCAAAAGCATTCCAGTGGCGTGTATTTTGCTCAGCTAGCCCGAAACTCAACAGAGACCAGGCCATTTTGGTGCAACGAACCTGGTAGCCTCTGCCTCGGGAGTGCTGGAAGCAGAGCTGCAGTGCGCTAACCCGCCTGCCTAAACACCAGTGTTGTTTTGAGACAGGGTTTTTCTGTGCAACCACCTTGACTGTCCTGGAACTCACAGTGATCCGCTTGTCTCTACCTCCCAAGTGCTGGGATTAAAGGTGTTTGCTACCACCGCCTTTGCTACCACCTCCCGGCTCTAAATACCTTTTCTTACAGGAAAGTGGCATAAGAACGAACTTTTTGCTTTGCTGTTTGATTATTCTTTATCTCCAAGTGCCTGAATACAGCGCAATGAAGGCTCGATTTGTTACATCCCGCTCTACTCAGCCTTCTAGGAAGAGCCCTCATCCTACTGTTACGAAGCTACCCAGGCCAGGCCTGGAGGCTTATGTCTAGAATCCTAGCATTTGGAAGGCTGAGAAGACAGGACTGCCAAGAGTTCGAACTTGACCAGGACTACACCTTAATACACCCTCCACGTATCCCTTTCCCACCACGCTCTAAAGAAAACAAAACCAAGAAAGTTCCCTCAAAGTCGTAATGCCGGAAGCACTCCCTCTCACCCGCCTACTGCGGCGCTCTGTGGCTTTCCGTTCCCGCAGCCGAATGCGGTGCGCTCCCGCCAACCCCAGGCCCTCACCCTTCTGCTGGTCGTCTGCCATGCTCCCGCTCTGCAGGGCTCCGTGGGAACCTTGGGACCTAGCCCTAACGCCAGCTTTTGGCATGTTTCGCGTAGTCCGTAGAAGACACCACTTCCGTTCATTGCAGCTATTCTAAGTCCCACCCCTTCCGGAAGCCTGAGCCAATGTGGTTAAGGACCCTGGCAGAAGCGCTGCTAGGCAGACGTCAGACTAGGTTCTCGGGTGGATTAGGCACTTGGTGCCATTGGGTTTCTTCAAATGCGAGGCTGCGAAGCCAGAACCTGAAGTGGCCCCTCTACCAATTCCATCTTAGTCCAAAGAAACACGACACGTTTAGAGGCTTTGCGTTTTATAAAACCAGAGCTGGCTGATCTTCGGGGGTACAACAGCTAGAGGATGGGTGAAGCTGTCTGTTGGTCCCCACCCCCGAGGGCCGGGGAAGGGAGGGTTTCATGCCAACAGCTGAGGCTCCTCTCAGCTCCCAGGCGGATGCTCAAGCAGGGAGAGGGATGGTCACGGGGAGAGGGAAGCTCCTGAGGCTCCGACACTGCTGGCTTCTTCTCCCCACTCCTGTCCCTTTCCAGCACAGCCTGGCTACCCAGCTGGCCTGGGTCAGAGCAAAGGTCCAGGAGCAGTGGAAGGGAGGTGAATGGGAACAGAGCACCAAGGGAAGGGGCCCTCGGCCCAAGGGAGGAGAATGGCCCTCCCCCCAACAACTCCCCACTGAATTCACAGCACAGAAAACACCTCTAGTCCATCAACTCCACGTGGAGGTATACTGAGTCCAGGGTCCAAAGGGGCAGGCAGGTGAGACGGGCAGGGGCAATGAGACAAGAGCAGGCTCAGGAGGGGAGGCAGCAGAACTTTCTTCCTATCCATGGGAGGAGACAATGGGACGGCTGATATTGCTGTTGGTGGTCATGGCATTGAGCTCCCACCTGGAAGGCCAAAGACGGGCAGAGAAGACACAAGAGGTAGTCTCTATGGCAAGCCCAGAATTCTTTGGACAAAGCCTGAACACAGCAGCCCCTCCAATTTCCCACAGCTACCTCTTCCTTACAGCCCTTTTGGGTTTGACCACCAGACCCCACCCACCCCTAAATCCAACACCACCTACTCATCCACTTCCAAGCTCTTGCGGATATCCTGTTTATGTTTATACAGATTCCTGAGTCCAAGCACCTGGATTATGTGTACCCATCTCAGTAAACATCTTAGCGTATCTCTCCTGCTCTTCACAGACCCAGCCTAGCAGCCCTTCCTCCTCATCCCACAGGAGCACCCTTCTTGCTGTCTATTTCCACTGGCTTAAGGTCGTGATTCCCTCATGTTCTCCCTAAACTTTAGGGCCTAAGACCTTTCCCATCTGCCCCAGCAAATTAAAAGTATGCTTTGAGCAGCTCTTCCACCCCACAAAGACTCAAGAAACACTCCCCACTCTGAGACGCGCAGCCAGGTGCTCAGCCAGGTGCTCAGCAGGAAGGCACCTGCACCTGTGTCAATCTAGAGTCAGCCTGGGACTCATCAGGTCAGCGGATAAGCTCGGCTCGAGTAGGGACCGTTTCAAAATAACCAAGAGTAAGTGATTCATGAGTGACATTAGGGGTTTAATTAGAACTCAATAATGGAATCCAGAGGCAAGAACCCAGGACCTCTCTCAATTTTGGAACTGGGGTGGGGGGTGGGGGGTGGGGTCCACAACTCTTCAAATTTCTACTTGGCAGTCAACCCTGAGATATATCCAACCACTCTCAGTACAGCACCAAAACAAACTGCACAAGGAAGCAAAGCTTTTTCTAAGCATGGCTCCAAAAACTCAAAGGTTTTCTTCATACAGCTGACAGCTGTCACACGATGGCTGCACCTTTATGCCCTTGTTCTCATAAACACTTCCTCTCCAGCACACAGAAATGTCTGAAATGTCTGTCTTCTGCATACTGAGACACCTGTGCTGGCCCTGCACCCTCAACCAACCCCTCCTCTGCAACCACTTGCTGTACCTGATATCATGGGGCAAACAGGACTGGTCCAGGTTATACTGAATCACGGCCAGTTTGCACAGAGTCTTCAGACTAGGGCCTTTAATGGAAGCATGGAAAGACAGTCAGAGCGGAGGAAAGGTCCTACCCTGGTCACTACCCAGAGAGAGAAGCTGAGAATAGGAGCACTTCAGAAAAAAGTACTTACTAAAGTCCAAGATGTGTAAGTCAGAATGATCTATGAGGTCAAATTCATCTCCCAGGCCTTCCTCGGGAGAGGGGCTGTAGAGACAGGAAGAGGAAGAAGGAGGTGGTACAACTACCCACAAGACCCCTTACTCAGATGCCTCCCTCTCTTCTGTTACAGACGTAGGCCCGCTCCTGAGTACTCCCTCTCCTAACCTGGTACCCCCAAAGAGGACAATCTTATCACCAACAATACAGCAACACTGGCGCCGGCGGGGACATGGTCCTTTCCCCTTTGGTTCAATCTTCTTCCAGGTAAAGGACCCTAAAGAGAAGTTCACAGAGGTTCAATATCTAGCCAATCTAGACACCACACACAGCCCAACCCAGTCCCTCACCCAAGGTTATTCTTTCCCTCCCACCTCAACTGTTCCTTGTCCCTCCCCTAAGGGTAATGCTTTTTACCAGGGTTAAACTTCCAGAGATCATGGAAGTGCCGGTTCAGTCTTGCATTATAGCCACCAAAGATGTACAGCTCCCCGTTGTAGCCAACTGGAAGGGCAAAGACATGTCAAGAGGGAATGGGGTCGCACAGGGGGTCCACAGAAAATAACAGATACTCACAGGCTGAATGGCTCCTGCGCCCCTCAGGCAGCACCGGAGTATGTGGACAGTCAAGCCAGGCCTCAGTTCTGGTATCAAAGACTCGAATTCGGTTGCAGTAAATCTCATTGTTGGAATGAAAAGGCCCAAAGCGGTCAGCACGGCCCCCAAAGACATACATATGATTGCCCAGCATTGTGGCTGAATGGAAGTCCCTCCAGCGTGCAGGGTTACCCTAGCCAAGAGCAGAGAGATGGGGAAGAGGGTCAACATGGGTTCATAGAGGAAAAGCTAATTTAACTTCCTAGAATCTGACAGAACAAAGGGCAGACCTTTGTGCACACAAGGGTCCATGTCATGGTGCTGGTGTCCAGCTTGTGAATGTCATTGGAAAAGCAGTCTGCCTGAGTGACGAGAGAAAGGAGGGAAGCAGGCGCGTCAATGGTTAACTCCTTGATCCTCTACCCTTCCTCTCAAAGCCGCCTATTCCACCATGCTAAATTTTCCTCTCTTCTTTTTGGTATAAAACCATGTTTTTTTCCAGACTTACCAGCTGCTCATATCCCCCAAAAATGTACATGATCTTGCCTAAGACACAGGCTGAATGTCCATCACGGGCCCCAGGAACTGTTCCTGACACTCGGGGTGTAGACCACTTGTGAGTATCTTTTAAAAGAAGTTAAAAGTAAGTAAGGTCAGGTGACATATCCACCTTAATTCTGGCCTTCCCTTCTCCAATACTCCCCCAGCCCCAAGGCATCATTTGAGACCCATACTCACTGACATCAAAGGCATAGAGCACGTTGCAGGCCCCTTCAGTGTCATTGCGCCCACCCCAAAGGAAGACGGTGTCATCGATGAGGACGGTTGAGTGTCCATACCGCATATAGGGTACAACAGGAGCCTGCCCTCGGATGGCAGGCCTCACTGGGGGCAGCTTTGTCCAACGCAAGGACACTGTGGGCACAGTTCTGCTCAGCCCTTGGGAACCTCCCTCCAGGCTGCCACCTTATCCCAAACCAAGCATTTTTGTTGTTGTTGTTTCTTCAAGACAGGGTTTCTCTGTAGCTTTGGAGCCTGTCCTAGAACAAGCTCTTGTAGACCAGGCTGGCCTCAAACTCAGAGATCCACCTGCCTCTGCCTCCTGAGTGCTGGGATTAAAGGCGTGTGCCACTACCTCCCGGCCCACAAACCAAACATTCTTATTCAACCCCCCACCTACACAGAGACCACCACCAAACTTTATTCAGCTGCCCACTACCTCCCCTGATGTAGAAACCCAACAAAGGTACCAGGACTGGCTTACCAGCATTGAAAATGTGCACATCTATCTGACGGAGTGTCTCGTAGTCTTCACCAGAGCAGTAACCCCCGAAGGAGTACACTCGGTGCCCAACAGCCACTGCCGCATGGTTCACCCTGCGTGGCCCGCCCTCCAGATGCACTGTCCACCGTAACATCCCCTGGGTCACAGGTTACAGGAACATGCCCCCCCGGCACGGCCTGCTGCCTCTGCTACCTGTACACAAGTCGGGGCAACAGGTTCCTCAGACAAGGCTTCTGCTCGGCTCAGTGCGGCTGCCCTGGACCAGTCTCTGCCTCCAAGTGTCACCCGAGTGGCCCTCCCACACCACCCCTCTACAGGGACACTAGTCACAGTTCAGGTGGCTGGCTCTGTCCCAGGGGAGCTGCAGAGGTCAAGAAGCTATGTTCTCCCACAGTGAAGGGTGGGGCCACCTTCACCTGACTGCCAGCTCAGAAGCTGGTGGTCATGATTACCCCTACTCATGTCAACTCCACCCTGTCCCTGGCCTGGAACAAGCTCCAAGCCCCCAGCCTCTGAACCCCTGCCCATACTGGATGTGTTCTAGCTTCTGGCTCTGCTTACTGCCACCTCTCTAAGAATTTCCTCCATCTCTTAAAGGTAGGGATCTCAAAATCCTCATAGCTATTAATAGCTCAGCTAGCCACAGCCAGTCCACTGAGAGCTGGCAGGGGTACTGTAAAGTAAAAAAAGCTTTCAGGCTTTTAAAGTGGAATAGTGTCCCTACCTAGGACAGGGAACTCCATGTAACCATGGTTGATTAGCCCCTCACGGGGAGTTCTTGTCAAGCTGATCCGTTGTCCCGGGGTCACCCAGGGTGCCACGGGCACGAGGAGTCCCCTTGACAGCTGTGGCTCGTCTGCTGCCAGGACTAGAAACTGAAGCCAGAAAAGTGTATGTTGGGGGTTGGGGCAGGGAAGAGGAATCTTTTCCCTTGCCACTTGCCCAGGTTGTCTATCATAGGGAACAAGCCACTTCCAGCAGCTCTTCCTCTGTTAAGGTATCTAAAGGAGGGATGGGGCGGGTTGTACATTGGAAA